AGAATTTAGAATATGACTTATTGAGACTTGTAACAAAGTACACCATCGGTCCAGTGGTATCCCCCATGGCTGACTTTCATTCTACAACCATATTTCTTGGATCGTTGGTTTATTCAGCCAGGGGAATCCAACAAATTATCTTCTTCAGGGACAGGATACCACTCTGTAAATCACTGTTTATGTTCTAGAGTGGTATCCTGTCCCTGAAGAAGATAACTTTTAAAACCTTTTCGAAACATGTTGGATTTCCCTGGCTGTATAGACCAACATTCCAAGAAAGATGGTTGTTGTGGGATGAAGGTCAGCTAGGGGGGGGGGGGGGGGGAGTACCACTGGATTGGTGGTGAACTTTGTTGCAAATCTCAACAAGTGATATTTAAAATTCTCAATTTTTTGTTTGAAATCTATGCAAACTGTGTTTTTTATGCTTTTGGTATATTTTGTGACCCAGTTGCAGACTCTGGGCATTCTACACACGCTCAAAATGAATACCAACAATGACAGCTGCATTGCTGAGTACACAGAGAAGGACCGGGCAGCTGGAACTGTAAAAATAAAAAAAAAGACAATGTTTATCAACAACATTGCTCAGCAAATACAGAAAGATACGAAGTAACATTTTGTATCTATTCTGATTATTCATCTACAGATCAAATGGATGAACTTTGATCTGTAGATGAAGTTAGTTAAAGCCACCTGACAAGTTTTATTTTGTTTTGTTTTTTTTGTATTAAATGTTCATCTGTGTAACCCCTTATAACCCTTAGTTTACTCTAATCAGCCCTAAATAACTAATTCTCCTCTATTTAATAATTCCTCTGCTGATTTGTTTTTGTTTGTTTCTGTTTTATTAACTAGTAATATTTAAACTTTTTTGTTTGCTTTGTTCATTAATATTTTTACACCTTTATCAGAAATTTACACATTTCACATTGAAAACTTGGAAAAAAAACACTTTACTTCATTTGTAAAAAAAATAAACTTTCCAGTGCTTTGTACCAGAATCATAATTTTAGTATCATTTTAAAGACAAATTACAGGATGAGATGCATACTTTTTATGTGCAGTAACACTATTTATTTTTAAACTGACACTGCTCAAAAAAAGAAAAAGTGCATTATGTTTGGTGTACCATGTGACAAGCTGTGACCAATCACAGCTCACACAGTATTTCTCAATGGCTGCAAGAATGCAGCCAGAGAGAAGGAAAAATTATTGCTTTTACAGCCTTTATGGGTGTAAAAGCAATCAGTGTAAAAAAAAAAAAAAACAAACAAAAAAAACCTTCATAACCCCCCCCCCCCCCCACAAGTAGTACAGTGTCACTATGGTGACACTATACTGCTAGGGTGACAGTATGTAAAAAAAAAAACAAAAACACATAAATAATATAAAAAAAAAAAAAAAATGTAAGATTTTTTTTTTTTTTTACTAAATAGATAACTGAATACATTTTTGGCCAAGATTTATGAAGAAAGATTATTTAATTGCAAACTTTTTAAATAAAAACACTTTTTTTTTCAACATTTTTGGACTTTTTCATTTATATAGCAAAAAAAAAATTAAAATCCCAATGGTGATGTAAAAAAACAAATAAAAACACATAAATAATAATATAAAAATGTAAGAATTTTTTTTTTTTTTACTAAATAGATAACTGAATACATTTTGGCCAAAATTTATGAAGAAAGATTATTTAATTGCAAACTTTTATAAGAAAAACACTTTTTGTTCAACATTTTTGCACTTTTTCATTTATATAGCAAAAAAAATAAAAATCCCAATGGTGAATAAATACCACCAAAATAAAGTTTTATCTGTCTGAAAAAAATGCTAAAAAATTCATATGGGTACAGTATTGCATGACCTCACAATTACCATTAAAAGTGTGATAGCGCTGAAAGCTGAAACTTGGCCTGGACAGGAAGGAGGTAAAAGTGTCCGGACTTGAAGTGGTTAAGTAATCAAAGTTTTTGCCGAATAAGCAGGTCCATGTCAGAAATGTAAAAATTGCTCTAGTCCATAGGAGTGAACAGGTGTGAGAGTCAAAGTAGTTAATCTGTATAACTAAATATTAATATTTTCATGAATATATGTTTTAGTAGGTTGCCTTCAAAATCCTATTATGAGTATAATTGTTTGATGTTTGCCTGCAGTATATATATATTGTGGATGGTCAGCAACTAGTTCAATTGCAATGAGCAACACAAGCAAAATGGGCAAAATATGGGTATTGCCAAGGTGAATAGTCACATACTGGTAAACCATACACCCTCCTTATCTCACTCCATGCCAAATTTAGCATTCACTATTTCAACCTACCAACCTTTTCAACTTTCAAATTCACAATAAGGGAGTTTCAAGGTAATAAAAACATAATACATGTAGTTGAAAGTAAAAAAGGTGTATTAAATTACATAAAACATATATACTTAATAGGTGAACTAAAAACATTTTGCCACACCTCCCTGCTCAAGTCTTAAGCATTTGTTGAACTCTAGATACAATTGGGGTTATTCACTAAAACTGCACGGTGCAAATATCTGGTGCAGCTCTGCATAGAAACCAATCAGCTTCCAGGTTTTATTGCAAAAGCTTAATTGAGTCAGCTGAAGTTAGAAGCTGATTGGCTACCATGCGCAACTGCACCAGATTCTGAGTGCTCCAGTTTTAGTAAATCACCCCTAATGCACAATTATTATGTAATAGCATTTCACAGGGGTTTATTTACCAAAGATGGTTTACTCAGAATCTCGTTCACCTGCACATGGTAGCCAATCAGCTTCTAACCTCAGCGTGTTCAATTAAGCTTTAGCAATAAAACCTGTAAGTTGACTGGTTTCTGTGCAGAAGTGCACCAGATTCTGAATGAACCATCTTTATTAAATAAACCCCACAGTGTCTTAATTTAGCAGTAACAATGATAGTGAAAGACCAGGTGATTCTATGAGAGGTATTTACTAAAACTGGTACACACAGAATCTGGTGCAGCGGTGCATAGAAACCAATCAGTTTCCAGGTTTTATTGTCAAAGCCTAACTGAACAAGCTGAAGTTAGAAGCTGATTGGCTGCCATCAACAGCTGCACCAGATTCTGTGTGCACCAGTTTTAGTAAATATCCCCCTATACATTTTGTTGAGAAGATTTCAGCTTCTTCAAGAATATAGGTGACCAATCTAAATATAATAATAGACAAGATACCAATGTTACCAAAACATATTCTATTATATAATTAGTCTGGCTGAAAAAAAAAAAACAAAAGTTCATCCAGTTCAACAACAAAAAAAGAAGTTATAATCCTATACCCACAATTGATCCAGAGGAAGGCACAATAACCCAGCAAAGCATGATTCAATTTTCTCCCGCAGGGGAAAAAATTGTTCCTGTTTGAATATTCACTGGATCAACTTTACCTATAAATGTTAGTATCCAGGTTTTATTATGTGCATCTAGGAAAGAATCCAGGCTTTTTTTAAAGCAATCCACTGAGCTGGCCAGAACCAACTCTGGAGGGAATCTATTCCACATTTTTTTATAGCTCTCACTGTGAAGAAACCTTTCCGTGTTTGGAGATTACATTTCTTTTCCTCCAGACGTAAAGAGTGCCCCTTGTCCTCTGTGATGACCTCAAGGTGAATAGCTCTACACCGAGTTCACTATATGAACCACTGATGTATTTATACATGTTGATCATATCCCCCCTAATCTCCTCTTCTCAAGGATACTGCTGTATTATTCATAAAATCTCTTCAAAGGAATCCCCCCCCCCCCATTGTTACATTCACATTGATATTGTATGTAATAAAGTTGTCATACTGTGAATTTGAGAATTGAATTTTGGTGTGGAGATGTTTGGTACTTTCAATCAAATTCTGATCAATTTAGATCCAGATATATTTATATAGCCTGTGTGGGCGAAGGTAGTGCAGCAGATTTACATGAACATAGAGATGACCCTGCTATATTGAATTGTTCATCTATCATAAAAAAAACACACAAAAATGCATATCATGAATATCATGAAAAAAATTTTTGTAGAAGACTAAAAGATGCTTTCTCTTTTATTTTCACCAGATGGCACCATTGTACCATCTACTGCTGTGTTGTACCAGCTCATTCTGTAGTTTTGGCTATTTGCATGGCAGATATTTTAGATTATATGAAAAGTAGGTTTACTGAAATGTATTAGTGTTTTCTATAGGCAAGAAATGCTGGTAAGGTTATACATTAAGAATAAATATAACACATAACTAAACATATTTATGCCATTATAGTAAATGAGGTTATTTTATACCATAGCATGCCAAGCAGCCAAATACCTTATATCAGTGAAGTTTTTTTTTTTTTGTACAGACAGTATTTCTGACACATTTAATAATACTGCTGTAGTCACATTTGGAAAATGTAAGAAAAAAAACAGAGCTTTAAGTGAGTCATAGGCTGCACTTGAGAAGCTCTTTCTCCTCATCACATATACACTTACCGGCCACTTTATTAGGTACACCTGTTCAATTATTTGGTAACACAAATTGCTAATCATCCAATCACGTGGCAGCAACTCAGTGCATCTAGACATGTGAAGATGACTTGCTGAAGTTCAAACTGATCATCAGAATGGGGAAGAAAGGGGATTTAACCACTTGGTAACCGTGCTATAGCCGAATGACAGCTACAGCACGGTTACCCAGTTCTGGGAGGGCGTCATATCACGTCCTCCCAGAACACGCCCTCCCACGTGCCCCCAGGGGCGCGCACCCGGCGATCTCTGTGATCGCTGTGTCCTACGGACACAGCTGATCACGTGATGAGGTAAAAGGCCTATCACAGCGGCCTTTTACCACGTGATCAGCTGTGTCCAATGACACAGCAGATCATGGAGTAAATACAGTTGCTGGTTATCAACAGCACTTTCCTCACGATGTCACAGCGTGAGGAAAGTACTGCCAATAATTGGCAGCTGTCAGAGGAGATTGGCACTGATCATCAGGGCACTGATGGTCAGTGCCTTGCAGTGCCGCCCAGCAGTGCCACCCACCAGTGCCCATCTGTGTCTCCCATCAGTGCCCAGCAGTGTCCCCCAGCAGTGCCACCGATCAGTGCCCCCAGCAGTGCTGCCCATCAGTGCTGCCTATCAGTGCCCAGCTGTGCCTCCAGTCTGTCAATCAGTGCTGCCAGTGATGGCTGTCACTCAGTGCCTTCAGCCAGCGCTGCCTATTATTGTCGCCCATCAGTGCTACCTATCAGTGCTCACAAGTGCTGTCCATCAGTGCCCATCAGTGCAGCATCATCAGGGCCTCCTCATCAATGCCCACCAGTGCCACCTCATCAGTGTAGCCTATCAGTGCTGCCTATCCATGCCACCTCATCAGTGCCCATCAGTGCTGCCTATCCATGCCACCTCATCAGTGCCCATTTGTGCTGCCTATCAAATTTTTTGCTCTTTTTTTGTTTATAGTGCAAAAAATAAAACACCCAGTGGTGATTAAATACCACCAAAAGAAAGCTCTATGTGTGTGAAAAAAAATTATAAAAAATTTCATATGGGTACAATGTTGCATGACCGCGCAATTGTCATTCAAAGTGGAACAGCGCTGAAAGCTGAAAATTGGCCTGGGCAGGAAGGGGGTATAAGTGCCCTGTAGGCAAGTGGTTAAGTGACTGAACGTGGCATGGTTGTTAGTGTCAGACGTGCTGCTCTGAGTATTTTAAAGCTGCTGATCTATTGGGATTTTCATGCACAACCATCTCTAGGGTTTACAGAGAATGGTCCGAAAAACAGAGGGAGTTATGTGGATGAAAATGCCTTGTTGATATCAGAGGTTGGAGGGGAATGGGCAGACTGGTTTGAGATGATAGAAAGGCGACAATAACTCAAATAACCACTCGTTACAACCAAGATATGCAGAATACCATCTCTAAATGCACACCACATCAAACCTTGAAGCAGATAGGCTACAGCAGCAAAAGACCACAGCGGCTGCCACTCCTGTCAGCTAAGAACAGGAAAAGGAGGCCAAAATTCACACAGGATCACTAAAATTGTACAATAGAAGATTGGAAAAAAGTTGGCAAGAAATGAGTCTCGATTTTAGCTGCAACATTCAGATGGTAGGTTAAGAATTTAGCATAAACAACATGAAAGCCTGGATCCATCCTGCCTTGTATCAACAGTTCAGGCTGGTGGTGGTGGTGTAATTGTGTGGGGGATATTTTCTTGGCACACTTTGGATACCTTAGTACCGACTGAGCATAGTTAAAACACCACTTCCTGAGTATTGTTGCTGACCATGTCCATCCCTTTATGACTACAGTGTACCCATCTTTTGATGTCTACTTCCAGCAGGATAATGCATGATGATGTCACAAAGCTCAAATCATCTCAAACTGCTTTCTTGAACATGTCAATGAGTTCACTGTACTCCAATGGCCTCCACAGTCACCAGATCTCAATCCAATAGAGCACCTTTGGGATGTGGTGGAACAGGAGAGTCGCATCATGGATGTGCAGCCTATAAATCTGCAGCAACTGCGTGATGCTATCATGTCAATATGAACCACAATCTTTGAGGAATGTTTCCAACACCTTCTTGAGTCTATGCCACGAATAATTAAGGCAGTTCTGGAGGCAAAAGGGGGTCCAACTCGGTACGAGCAAGGTGTACCTAATAAAGTGGCCAGTGAGTGTATATGGTGTGCATTGGCTTACTAGTGCAACATTGTGATTGTGCTTTACTGCTCTTTATATCTCAATGCACATGTGCAGAAAGAAATATAGTGACTGGCTTTCACCAACAACAATACACTGAAAATGTTTGCAGTAGTTCAGAAAAAAAAAAATGTTGGACTGTATTGTTTGATATAAAAACATCCACCAGAGGGAGAATTTGTCTGTCTGAGCATGGAATATGACCAGGTGGCATGGCAAGCAAATGAAAATCTCAAATTATTACAATAACTTTTTCATAATGTGCTAATAGTGGTGATTTGTTTGTATCTCTTCCGTAAGCATACTTTACAGCAGAAATATGTGAAAACTTTTTCTTTGCCCATGTAGTGGGACTGTGCCAGCACTGCATGGGTTAAATATTGTTCTAGGGGAGAGGACACCGAATATATGCTCACCTAACCTGCCAATCCTCCCTGCATAAGACTGGTCCTTTCAGCTCCTGCCCCCCATGATCCAGCAGTCTTGTAAATGGACTGTTCCTGACATCAGCGTGCTCAATACGCATTCCACAGACAGGAACAGTCCACTGCTGGACTGTGGGGGAGAGCGGTTTTCCGTAGGATCGATGGGTCAAGTTAGTATGAGCTTAGTCCCTCGCCCTAGAAAAAAAATTTGCATCTGATCCATGCAGTGGGTGCATTTTACTATGCAGCCGTACTGCATAGTAAAAAAAATTACTGGAGTTCTGCATTAATGTCTAATATAAACTGCTTCCTGTTCTCCTTTAAGTCCCTCTTAAAAGTTCTCATCTGTTGTCCAATTTTTTGAACAGGAGCAGGCTTGCACAGTATTCTTTTTGTCAGCAGTGCACAAAAGAAGAGGAAAGAATAATCGTCATTCTGGAACTATTTTATTTTTATGTTGAACGCTTGGCAGTCTTCTACACTTCTGTCCTTTCTAACCCTGTCTATTGTCAGAATTTTCTTTTTGCTGTAAATGTGTACTATGTCCTTGTAACAATTGTACCTCCTATTCATTTTGCCTCCAGTGTTCCTGGTTAAGATCCATGTCTCTGGGATACACAGATAGCCTGCGGTGTACATCCACTGCTGGCATTTTGTAGATTTAGCAGCATATTCTAACAGCTGTCAAAGGGGCTTTACATTCTCCACTTAAGGGCATGATCTGTGTTACATTGCTCTCCCTATATGTCCGGGAGCTGGGTTACACACTACAGCAGAACAAGTTGTGACATTGGCAGCAACGGAAAAAACCACAATAACAGAACAGGACATGGCAAATGACTGTGGACAATATTCTGCTATTCTGCTCCAAGTTCTAAGCACAGATGGTCTGTCACTGTGTAAAGAGGTGGGCAATGCTTGTCTCGGCAGAGAAAGGGTCCTTGAACAGGTGTGAAACTGATTGGAGACAGATGGGTGTTGCTCCCAAAAGAAAGTATTCTTAAAAGATAACTTCACTTTTTGGACAAAAATAATAAATGCACTTTTTTTTCAGGTACAAAAATGTGCTTTTACTATTTTTGTCTACAGGAGCCTGGAAAGCATTGCACCAGTGACCAGTTGATTGCTGATGCCATGCAGGTCTCCTGCAGACCTGTCAGAATATCTGCTTGCCCTGCGGGATGTACGATCAAGCAGATATTCTGACAGGAAGCTTCAATGAACTACCACAGCGCTCCATAGTGCCGTGATAGTTTATTGAAAACTACAAGCTGACAGCCGCTAAGGCTGCCAGGACTTGTAGGCACTCATTCACAGAACTCTGTGAATGAGTGACGCGGCCATGTGGGCGGATATTGTGGGCCATGCTGTTTTCAAATCTGACAGATAGTACAGGGGAGACTTCTCCCCGTACTATCTGTCAGAGGGGGGGTGGGGAGGGGGCGGCAGACGCGGCTACGGCTATGGGAACATGTTACATGTTCCACTCTAAAAACAGGTGGAACATGTAACATGTTCCAAAGGTGACAGGGGCGGACTGACCATTTGGAAACTAGGGCACTGCCCGAGGGCCCGGGGTCAGTAGGGGGCCCCATGAGATGCCCCTGGTACCTTTTTCATAGGCTTTTTTGAGTTTGGGCAAGGACACAGTGGCCCCATGATCTCCTATTGCCCGGGGGCCCCATGAGCTGTCAGTCCGCCCCTGAAAGGGGAACTTATCCTTTAAAAGCCATTTCACACTGACTTGCGCTAAAATGCATGTACACTTCCATCCATTTTAGTCATGTTTTAATGCTCACTAATGTCCATTGACATACACTTTGAAGTCCATTGACATACATTTTTCATTTTAACGTAACGCAATGCAACATTATGGTGTGAATAGGACACATTGGAAATGATTGCTTTTTAGACGTCCTTCTGCTGATCTGCATTTAAAGCTGCACTAAAATGCACTGGTGTGAATTGGCCCTTAGTCACCCTATGATCGAGAACATCTTGAAGGCTGACACATGGGGTACATATGTCCAGGCCTGTCTGGCCTACACAGGCCACCTACCCAGATTGTCATCTGAGAGTTGGAGATTGTGAAGGGACAACGGTATTCCCAGTCTGAACAGACCAGTGTGTCTGAGCTAAGCAAGTAGCAGTCTGTATGTGAGCAGTCAACAGGTCCAGTCTTGTGACCAATGGACCGGTTAAGCAGAGAGGCTGAAAATGAGACAGTTCTGTCTTAAAGGCTTAGTTCACCTTAAAGACAATGGGCTCCGGTAGCGTAAAATATACATTGCAGTTTGTAAAATAAATATTTAATGCAAATGCCATACATGTAGGCCTTTTCTGTCACCTATGAAGCCTGGCTGAAATACTTCCAATGTTTACATTCCTATATCCTGGCTTATTTGCAGGTCAAGGGCTACAACAAAATGATTGCTGAGCCATCAATTTATGTGGATAACCAAAATGATAAACTCTTTAGTTTTCCTCAAAGAAGGAGGCCTGGTGGTCATTTTGATGTAGCCCATGTTCTGAAAATAAACCTGAATTTAGGAACATAAACTTTGGGAGTATTTCAGTCAGGCTTCATGGGTGATAGAAAAGGTCTACAGGTAAGGCATTTACAGCGAACATCATTTTTTTTATGCACGCCACAATGCATTTTAACTTACAGGGGCCCCCCGGTATGTGCAAGGTAAACTTAGCCTTTAAAGCCCCATGCACTCTGAATGTTTGGCCTAGGTGCATGGGGCTCCAGGGTTTAGCTGTGGGCAAAGGACACAGATGCCCCATCCAGCCCCATTGCCAGCAGCCTGTCAAACTATATAAGAGGCTGACAGCTGCTTTAGCTAGTACAGTGTACTAACATGTAGGACAGTATGCACCCAGGGATGAATGCCAGGAATACAAGTAGTCTGCATACCGGGCATTCATCTCTGGGTGCATACTGGCTTGAATGTTCATATACCTAGGTGCACCTCCCAGGCCTGTCCAGTCACATCAGGCCCACAGCTAAATACCAGATCCCAATGCACCGGGGCTGAACGCCCAGTGTGCTTAGGGCCTAAGGAGGAATAGACAGAGCTCTGAGACAAAAAATCCAGAAGGCTGCTTTTTGTTTGTGCCTGTTCTTGTGATAAACAAACCCTGCTTGGGCAGAAAACTGTACTGCTTTGAAGTCTGGATGATAAAATGTAGGCAAAAAGCCTTAAAATGCATTCTGCTGAGCTGACTTAGAAAACGTTCCATTTAAAGCTAAATTTCCTGCATTCAAATATACACTATAAATAAGGTTTGTTG